AGCTATTTTTCTTTTGTTAAGGTGTAAAACGGAAAAATAAAAATTTACCTTGATGAATACTTCGAAGTACTTTCACACCTGATATGCATTCATGATCTCAATGATTTTATTTGCACGTGCTCTGCTTGTTTGAAATTTTTCATCAAGTTTGTTAAGTACGCATATAGTTACTGCGCATTACGTAAAATTTATGAGTCATATTACAACATGAGCCCACAAATGATTGTTACTGTATGTTGAGCACTAAAATGTGATGTCACGTATAGTAACTCTGGTTAGTCGCATGATCAATGATCTAAAATTGGAAGCCAAGCCTTAATTGGAAGGTAATTGTTATCATTTTAGGTAATTGCCTATCATTATTTAAGATTTAATCCGAATCAAGCGTTAATAGGATTCGAGTTACTTGGAAATGAATTTCAATCTTCCTGAAAAATTGTCCCCTGATTATCATAATCTTTTCGAAAATAGTAACAAATACAATGTTATAATTGAAGTAGGAGAAGCGCCGTTCAATAAAACGTATAAAACACATTCCGTTATTCTAAGTAACAGGTGCCCGTTCCTATATAGGGAATTACAGCGCATTTCTTGCAACAAAGGTGATACCAAATTTATCAGTAAAAAGCATATTCCTATTAAGGCATTTGATGTTATTATCAAGTAAGTAAACTGCTATCCACATTTTGTATAAGCATTCATAAAAATAACATTATTATTTACTTTTCATCGTAAGATACATTTATAACGATGTTGTTAATTTAAAAGAAGTGGAGAATTCAACTATTTTTGATCTTCTCTTAATCTCTAATGAATTCGAACTTTCCGAGTTGACCATTATCATCGAATCCTACCTTATTAAAAGTCAACCTTCTTGGTTACGTCTTAACTTCTTTAGAGTCCTTGAGAAGGCATTCGAATTCGACGAATTTCAAGAGCTTCAACAATATTGCAATAATATTATTGCTAAACATCCTGGTATAATACTTTGCAATGGATTTAATAAATGCATACCAGAGTGCGTTTTATTGTCTCTTCTTGAACGAGATGACTTACAAATCCAGGAATCAGTAATTTGGCAATGTATAATTAAATGGGGAATCGCTCAGGATCAAACTCTGCAAGTGGATGTCAAAAAATGGACTAAAAAAGAATTTGAAAATCTGAAATTTAAACTTCAACGATGCCTGCCACATATTAGGTATTTTCAAGTGCCTATCCAAGATATATTACCTTTCAGTCAAATTCTCGAACCTGAAATATG